TACTTCCCTGACCTCCTCTCACCTCCCTTTTTTGTATTCCAATTCCATTGGTTAATTCAGCAATTCCTTTCCCTCTTTGTTTTTATCTTAATCCTTTAACTTAATATATTATAGCTTTAGATTCTCACCTATTAACCATCCATTTTTGCATACACCTTTATGACATTGCTGCTAAAACCACTTAACTTCATTCTGACATCATTCTAACATTCATTAATTTTACAATATTTCTGTAAGTAGTCTTTAAATTTCTTCCAATCTTCTTCCACCGACTCTTCACCCTGGTCTCGGATTCTGCCAGTCATTTCCGCCAATTCCATGTAGTCCATCAACTGGTCTTTGAAGCATCTCTGCCTCTCACTGTAGAGACAGAACAGAGAGCCTTCATGGCTAGCAGCCTTGGAGAACCTTCGCTTCCACGAATTTGTCTCATCCTCTTTTAAAGCCATTGAGGTTGGTGGCATCCATTGCTTCCTCCTGCAGGGTGAGTTCCACAGTTTATCTATGCGCTGCATGAAGAAGGACAATAGGCTGGTCCTCTGTTGTCCCCTTCTCCTTGTGCCCTCAATCTTCCCCAGCATCAGGGTCTATAATTCCTAATAAAATGGCTTCTGGTTTGTTTGTTAGTTTTTTAAAAAAGTTATTTTAAACATTTTTTTCAGCTCATTATATATCATTTCCCAGAAAGCCTTTATTACCTTACATGACCACCACATATGATAAAAGGTACCTTATTTACATTTCCAGCAGGTATTTGTGCTTGTTTTATACATTTTTGCTAACTTTGTTGTTGTTGTTTAGTCGTTTAGTTGTATCCAACTCTTTGTGACCCCATGGACCAGAGCATGCCAGGCACTCCTGTCTTCCACTGCCTCCCGCAGTTTGGTCAAACTCATGTTTGTAGCTTCCCAGCATCAGGGTCTTTTCCAGGGAGTCTTCTCTTCTCATGAGGTGGCCAAAGTATTGGAGCCTCAGCTTCAGGATCTGTCCTTCCAGTGAGCACTCAGGGCTGATTTCTTTCAGAATGGATAGGTTTGATCTTCTTGCAGTCCATGGGACTCTCAACAGGACCTAACAGGATCTAAACAGGGGCGTCAGGCCCAGTGAGCTCAGCAAGCCATCTTCATCAGATCTTGCTCCCATGAAGCAGTTGTAAAGGTCCCCACCTCCCCATAGCTGACTATGTCTCCTCCTCTCCAGGGTGTTTTCCATGCAGTCAGAGACTGTGCCTGCTTGTCTGCCTTTGCTCCATCCGCTTCACGCCTCTCCTGGTTCTTGAAGACCAGGGGGAGGGGGGCTTGTTGCTGCAGGAGGGGAGACACTCTTCACTAGTTTGACCCATCTCTGCTTCTTGGCCTCCCTCCTCTCCTGTTTCTGCTTCTGTTTCTGAACTTTCTCTGCCACAGACTCTCCCCGCTCACTAAGTCCTGTTACCCCTCAGCTTCTGACACCTCCTCCTCCCAGTCTTCTCCCTCTGACCACTCACTGCCATCCTACCATCCCTCCCCAGGCTGTGAGACTTCTTCCCTTGGGGGTCCCCCAGCTGGTTCCTTCCACTATTCCTCTGCACCCAACCGGTCCATGACAGCTGGTTTTTGCACACTTTACACCCCTGTCTCTAGTCTGCATCCATGCAAGCAATAAATATTATCAAGGTCTTGTTCTGGGGAAGCAGAATTTGCACAAGGTGGGAATCAAAGGCAGGGCTTAGGAGGGAGTTTGGCTTGGGGAGAGTCCCAAGGCCCAAATGGAAAGGCATGTGGGGCACATTTGACACCTTCCCTGGACCTGATGGGCTCCCCATCCCTGACATAACTTGTACTTGTTAGGATATAGTTCCATTCCACCTTAAATGGTCAGGCATGATTGCTGTGTGTCACATGCCTGTTTACTTCCTGCTCACTGGGAGTAAGACAGCATCTTAAAAAGCAGAGACATCACCTAGACAACAAAGGTCCGTATAGTCAAAGCTATGGTTTTCCCAGTAGTGATGTATGGAAGTGAAAGCTGGACCATCAAGAAGGCTGATCGCCGAAGAATGGATGCTTTTGAATTTTGGTGCTGGAGGAGACTCTTGAGAGTCCCATGGACTGCAAGAAGATCAAACCTCTCCATTCTGAAGGAAATCAGCCCTGAGTGCTGACTGGAAGGACAGATCCTGAAGCTGAGGCTCCAATCCTTTGGCCACCTCATGAGAAGAGAAGACTCCCTGGAAAAGACCCTGATGCTGGGAAAGATGGAGGGCACAAGGAGAAGGGGACGACAGAGGACGAGATGGTGAGACAGTGTTCTCGAAGCTGCCAGCATGAGTTTGACCAAACTGCGGGAGGCAGTGGAAGACAGGAGTGCCTGGCGTGCTCTGGTCCAGGGGGTCATGAAGAGTCGGACACAACTAAACGACTAAACAACAACACTGGGAGTTTCCGTTTTTCTATATAGCTTTTGTTCTGGCTGTTTTTTCCTGGACATGGATGCAAGCAGTCATGTTTTTCCTTTGTTCTGATCTACGTTGAATAAAGTTGTAAATATGCTCTCCTGGCTGAATCTTCCGTTGTGGAAACTTTGCAGAAAGGGGGTGCACGAGTCTTGGAATGTATCTGAGGCTCGTGTCGCTAATTGACTGATGCTGTTTTACGGGAGACTGGAGATCGTCCGGAGTCGACATGGAGGCCTGACTGATGTCTCCGTCTCCGTGACAGTATCCCAACAGTACTGACCACTGAAGGAGAGCCCTCAGGGTCTCTGTCAGCCCCCTACGGCCTGGCTGCGCAACCTGACAGTCATCTGCCCGCTTGTGTGGAGAGCTCAGCACTGTTCTGCATTCTGGATTTGTGACGTCATCACAACATTCACTTCCTACTGTCGGGTTCGCGTGTGCACACACGGTCAGGGAATGGTCTGAAGACGAGGACTGGGGAAGGCACTTTATGGCTGACCAGCCGCCATTGTTCACAGCGTGTTCAGAAGCAGAGAGAGAGAGAGAGAATCTGAACAGCTTAGGGTGGAGTTACCCAGTTACGAGATAATGACAAGAGAACAGGAAGGGAGGGGGCAGCCAGTTGACACGTCACTTGAGAGAGTGGGGGACCCCCCCTCACCACGGACTCAGAGGTCCGAACGTATCAGAGAGCAAAGGAGTCAGAGGGAGGGAGGAAAATGGAGAATTTAGAGTAGCCAACTGCTCTCCTTGCGGAGAGCTGTGTATTTGTGCTCGCAACATGATGCTGTAATAAAGGGACTATAAATCTATCAACTGCTTGTTAATTCTTATCTGCGAAGTTACCAAAGGGAGGGGAGGACTCCCCATGCCTCTCTCTCTCTCTCTCTCTCTCTCTCTCTCACACACACACACACACACACACACATCCGAACTGTGTCTCGTCAGGGAGGCAATCAAGTCTTCACCTGAACATGCTTTCAAAAGCTGTGTGCATCAAAATATGTTAGCAGCGTAGTTTTGTAATTATGCTTTTTAAAGAAACAAAAAACCAGAGAGCGGGAGGGAGGGGAGGAGACAGAATAGGGAGACCTGGTCGCTCACCTTGAGGATGCCTGCATTTTAACACTGTGAGGGTCTTCACTGGGTGGGTCAGAAAAAGCGGTTGATTCTTGGCAAGAGGGAGGGAAACAAATGCACTCTCTGCTATTGTTTTATGAAAATATTTTTTTTGGGGGGGGGCTGCCTTCCTCAAGTGCAGCTATTTCATCTCACTCATCAGCCCCAAATTTATTCATCTGCCTTGGTAAAGCTGCCTTGGTTTGAAGCATACTTTGCTGTCAGTTAACTTTCATTTCTGCTTTGCCTTTATGTGCAAAGAGCTAGATGTTTTTCTTTTTCGGCAATACTGAAATCATTCCGTGTTTGATAAATGGTTGGGGTTTTTTGCCATTCTGAATTTACGGACCTGCTCTGCATTTTGTGTATTTGTGTATTTCCAGTGTTCTCTATTTTAATGTTTTGATTTATTGCTTTTAAGCAGCTTCGGACACAGTTTGTGGGAAAGTGGCATTGTAGCCTTATTGGAGTTCATCGATTGGGTTTGAATTGCTCTCGGACAGGAGGAAGGAAGTCAAATGACACCGAGGGTTGGTTCAGAGAAAGAATTCTTTATTTCTGCTCTCTGGAACAGCAGAAAGGCCCTTGTGTGGTCAGTACACAGCAAGTCCAGAGAAATGAGAAATTTCATACAGTATATATATCCTCCAGGCACCCTCTCCCTCCTTCCCCAGGAATCCAACCACGTCAGCCTATACATCCAGGTTGACATCACATATGTTCCTGCTCCGGTGTTCTTAACCATAAAAGGGTATTCCTTCCTGTACTTCTGACCATAAAAGGATCTTCCTGTTCCTACTCTTATCTTGGAGCAAGAGGTCATCATCTCCAAGAACACACTCTGGCGCTGTTCGCAGACTAGGTCTGTGCGTCTTTGTGGCCAGGACATAAGATAAGGCACAGATGTGTCTTCCCTGTTCTACTGGTACAGTCAAGGCCATCCTTGCCATCACAAACTGATAAAGGAGAGGGCTCTGAGCACTTGTCTATACAGCCGGGTTTTTGTTTATACATTGACTCAGAGCTCAAGTTAACGGATTTTAGCTAAGGAAAAATAGGGATTTTGGTGCCTATTTCAAACTGCCTGCACAGTCAGTTTTGGGTTTGGGAAACCCATTCCTTCAGCATAAAAGTAAAAACCGATCAATCAGTCTTTGCAGTCTCTCTCCGAGGAAGAAAGATGGAAGAGGACAACCTTGCAAGCAGGGCAAAGAAAACATGTCCTCTCTCTGTCTTTCTTCCTCGGAGAGAGACTGCAAAAGCAAAATCAGTGTATCTCAATTTCCTCTCACAAGACTCCAACAATCAGTGCTGGAATATAAACAGACATGTGACATGTAACAATTCCCCACACACACCTGCAGCTTGGGAGGATTGGAATTCTCAACAATGGGGACCTGAAGGATAATCTAGTCCAACCCCCTGATAGGCAGGAATGTGCAGCTGTCCTAAACAGGGATTGAACCTGCAGCCTTGGCTTTACCAGCACCACACCCTAACCAAGTGAGCTATCGGGCCTTTACCTGTTGGAACTCCCTCCCCTTAAATATTAGGCAGGTGACCTTCGTATTTCAAGAAGCCTTCGGAAATCCCAAGGGCATTCTAGGAAGTGGAAAAATCTGGAGAATGCAAGAGAAGCGTGAAAAGGATTTTAAAATTATAATTATAATTATAATTATAATTATAATTATAATTATAATAAGACAGAAGTACTGTTTTGGGGGGGACAGAGGGCAGGCTGGTGTGGAGGACTCCCTGGTCCTGAATGGGGTAACTGTGCCCCCGAAGGATCAGGAGCGCAGCCTGGGAGTCATTTTGGACTCACAGCTGTCCATGGGGGCGCAGGTCAATTCTGTGCAGGGCAGCTGTCTACCAGCTCCATCTGGTATGCAGGATGAGACCCTCCCTGCCCGCGGACTGTCTCGCCAGAGTAGTGCATGTTCTGGTTATCTCCCGCTTGGACTACTGCAATGTGCTCTACGTGGGGCTACCTTTGAAGGTGACCCAGAAACTGCAACTAATCCAGAATGCGGCAGCTAGACTGGGGACTGGGAGCGGCCGCCGGGACCATATAACACCTGTCTTGAAAGGCCTACACTGGCTCCCAGTATGTTTCCGAGCACAATTCAAAGTGTTGGTGCTGACCTTTAAAGCCCTAAACGGCCTCGGTTCAGTATACCTGAAGGAGCGTCTCCACCCCCATCGTTCTGCCCAGACACTGAGGTCCAGCGCCGAGGGCCTTCTGGCGGTTCCCTCACTGCGAGAAGTGAGGTTACAGGGAACCAGGCAGAGGGCCTTCTTGGTAGTGGCACCCGCCCTGTGGAACGCCCTCCCACCAGATGTCAAAGCGATAAACAATTACCTGACATTCAGAAGACATCTTAAGGCAGCCCTGTTCAGGGAAGTTTTTAATGTGTGACATTTTAGTGTATTTTTGGTTTCTGTGGAAGCCGCCCAGAGTGGCTGGGGAAACCCAGCCAGATGGGCGGTGTACAAATAAATTATCATCATCATCATCATCATCATCATCATCATCATCATTATTTTAAAAAGGTAAAAGGAATATCGAACAAACCACTTTTCAGTCCTTGAATGGGGTAGGAGGGAAGGGATGCCTTCACCGCTAAAAGTCCTGGAATAAAAAGAACAGGAAAAGAGGGGAAGCAGTCTGAGAATGTCAGATGGGTTTGGCCAGAAATAGAGATGGAAGATCATGAATTAAATACATGACCATCTCTCTCCCCTGTCTTGTCTCAAAAGTTCGACTCGGGTAATTTTCAGTCTCTTTCCTAGACGAAGGGAAATTTGACTTGATTTATTGTATTTCTATGCCGCATTTCATAGAATTATAGAGTTGGAAGGGACCATGAGGGTCATCTAGTCCAGCCCTCCGCAATGCAGGAATCTCGAACCCATGACCTTGAGATTAAGAGCCTCATGCTCTGCCGACTGAATCCTGAAGCAGTTTACGAGCAACAAATAATTACAGAATGAAAATTTATAGTTGCAGGTAGGTAGCCGTGTTGGTCTGCCGTAGTTAAAAAAAATAAAAATTCCTTCCAGTAGCACCTTAAAGGTAAAGGTAAAGGGACCCCTGACCATTAGGTCCAGTCGCGGATGACTCTGGGGTTGCGGCGCTCATCTCGCTTTACTGGCCGAGGGAGCCAGTGTACAGCTTCCGGGTCATGTGGCCAGCAGGACTAAGCCGCTTCTGGCGAACCAGAGCAGCGCACGGAAACGCCGTTTACCTTCCTGCTGGAGTGGTACCTATTTATCTACTTGCACTTTGATGTGCTTTCGAACTGCTAGGTTGGCAGGAGCAGGGACCGAGCAACGGGAGCTCACCCCGTCATGGGGATTCGAACCACCGACCTTCCGATCGGCAAGTCCTTGGCTCTGTGGTTTAACCCACAGCGCCACCCGCGTCCCAGTAGGACCTTAGAGACCAACCAAGTTTGTTATTGGTATGATGGCAGAGAGCATGTCCACCGGGACATTTTCCTGCTTGATTGCCACCGCCACGCCAGGGATCGGGGCGGTGGGGAAGGCAGAGGACATTTTCCACTGCCCCCTCTCTTGTTTTGGAGTTGCGGTGGGGGGGGGCGGGCGCCGGAGGGATCTTTGCACCACGGCGCCGGACATGCTTAAGATGGCCCCGACCAAGAAAGTCTGTAGCTCAGCATTAGAACATCTGCTTTGCATATAGAAGGTCCCAATCCCCAGCGTCTCCAGTTAGGGCTGGGAGAGAGACCCTCTGCCTGAAACCCCGGAAGGTCAATATCCATCAGTGTGAACAATACCGAGCTTTCAAATGTGGGGGGAGTCTTGTGTTAGTTTTCCTGAAGTTTACAAAAGGCGTTGTTCAGTTGTCTCCAGAAACAAAGGGGAGAGGAAGCAATCCTGTGCATTTATTTATTTACCTCTCTCTTTTTGACTTCTTCCCTACCATTCTTCCAAGGAGCTCGGGGTAACACACACGGTTCAGCCCACTTCCTGTTTCATGGAATCATAGAGTTGGAAGGGACTCTAAAGCTCATCTAGCCCACCCCCACCCCCCGAAATCCCAACAGACGGCCATCCAACCTCTGCTTAAAAACCTCCAAGGAAGGAGAGCCCACAAGCTCCCGAGGGAGACTGTTCCACCGTCAAACAGCTCTTCCTGTCAGAAAGTTCTTCTTGGTGTTGAGTCGGAATCTCCTTTCTTGTAAGTTGAATCCATTGATTCAAGTCCTACCCTCCAGAGCGGGAGAAAACAAACTTGTTTCCTCTTCTGTGTGGCAGCCCTTGAGATATCGGAAGATGGCTCTCAGTCTCCTCTTTTCCAGGCTAAACATACCCAGCTCCTTCAACCGTTCCTCATCAGGCTTGGTTTCCAGACCCTTCACCATCTTGGCCATCCTCTGTCAGCAGCTCAGCCTACACTCAAGTAGGACCCTGGTAGAGACACATGCCCGACTGGAATGTTCTCTCCCTCCTGGTCGTTCATTCGGGAGCTTCAAAAGCTTTCTTCTGCCCGAACACCACAGCGACCGACGCCAACAGACATCGGCACACTTAGGGATCCGCAGAGTTTGCCCATCATGCGTGACAGACCTCAGCAACTCAGCATTTGGGCTAATCTACTTTATTTACATATAAACACACACTGGGCACTGCAACATGGCTCCCTCTCCGTCTAGCATCAGACAGCAAAGAGAAAAAAGAAAGGACAACAGACCCACTTCACGGAACACAGTAACACAAACATCCGTCACTTCTCACTCTGTGGAGTTAAAACATATACCGTCATGTGAAAGACAACAATCCCATGACTGCAGTCATGGAGCAGGAATTCTAACATCCTCCTCTGCACCTGTTCCAGCTTGTCAACACCCCCTAGCTTGTCATCATCACAATAAACCTTTGAGGTAGGTATACATTGTACTTGAGCTTCCATTACTGTTGATTCCCAATATTCTGGAAAGATTTAACCCGCTCTGGCATTCTCTTTTAATTTCCTTTTAACCAACCCCCTCTTTAGCTAACCCCTCTGGGTTGGATCTTTTTGGCACTTGTTTATTTCTTATTATTTCTTCTTCATTTGCTACACCTACACCTTGTGCTTCCTCCAAGGTGATGTGCATGGCTCTTGCCCTCCCCAATTTTATCCCCACAACAACCCCGTGAGGAAGGTTCAGCTGAGATGCGGTGGCAGACCCCAAGCCGCCCGTGAGCTTCCTTGAACCCTGGACTCCCAGCTCTAACCACTGCACAACCCTGCCAATGACCCCTGACAAAGGGAAAGCCGTGCTTCCTCCCTGAGCCTTCTTCTCCTCTTGCCCGGTTGAGGATTTGACAAGCAAAGGAAGCAAGACGGCTTGTTGTGGGGAGCAATTAGGGAGGTGTCAACCGCAGCCACGTCCCCCAACATGCCCCCCCCACTGCCGCCGCCCGCCTGCCTGGCGCACCTTCCTTCTGCCATCGCAGCTGCTTTCCTGACAGGTTAAGAGTCTCTCGCCGCCTCCTCTTCACCAGGAGCTTTTTGGCAGGTCTGCTAAGTGGAGGCCTCAGCTGACAACCAGAGGTGAGTCTTTTTCCGGGAAAAGCCAGAAGCCAATTAACCTGCGGAGAGGGATGGAGGGACAACAAGCAAGCCGGGCAGAAGTCAGCCGTCTGGTGTGTGTGTGTGTAGAGGGAGTGAGGAGAGATGCAGCGTTGAAAAACACCTGGATGATATAACAACAACAACAACAACTTATTTATACCCCGCCCATCTGGCTGGGTTTCCCCAGCCACTCTAGGTGACTTCCAACACAATATTAAAAACAGTACAGTGGTACCTCGGGTTAAGTACTTAATTCGTTCCGGAGGTCCGTACTTAACCTGAAACTGTTCTTAACCTGAGGTACCACTTTAGCTAATGGGGCCTCCTGCTGCAGCTGCGCCGCTGGAGCACGATTTCTGTTCTCATCCTGAAGCAAAGTTCTTAACCCAAGGTAATATTTCTGGGTTAGCGGAGTCTGTAACCTGAAGCGTATGTAACCCGAGGTACCACTGTAATGCCTCAAACATTAAAAGCTTCCCTAAACCTGTAGGCACCCTGAAATATACTCGGAGTCGAGAGTGGATTTCATGCTCTTTATTCAGTTCATAGGAGTGAGGAATGGAAGTTCCCCCAGAATGTCTGCTTTATATACATTAGTTACGCAATGAGTCGCATGTGATTGGCTAATTCCGGGATTCTCCTGTAGGCCAATCAGGTTGCGGATTCACTTCCACCTGGAGCTGGATTGGGTAGCTCATGTGGACCAATCAGACTGCTGCATTCTGGACCCTATTGTTCTAGGACCAATCAGACTGCTGCCTTTTGGATCCTATTCAACTCAGTACATAACACCCACAAACAACAGAAAGGCATTTTCTTCTGGCATTGGCACCCTCTTGGCTGCAGGGGTTGGCAGAAGGAGGCGCCATCCAACCGTTTTAGGGACTCTGCTCTGGAATTGTCCAGAGTATTTTACTCCTGAGGATTTTCTTCTCCCAAAGTTGTCCCTCAAGGCAGAGGAGCTTTAGGATCTGAGTTTTTCCTTCTCCTAGATGGGCTCCCTTTCCAGGAGGGATGAGCTCCTGAGCAACAAAAAGACCAGGATCTGGAGAAGACACCACGAATATCACGGCCTAGGACCCTCGTACCTACGGGACCGCCTCTCCCGGTCTGCCCCACAGAGGACCTTAAGGTCCATAAATAGCAACACCCTAGTGGTCCCGGGCCCTAAGGAAGTCAGATTAGCCTCAACCAGAGCCAGGGCCTTTTCAACACTGGCTCCGGCCTGGTGGAACGCTCTGCCTCATGAGACCAGGGCCCTGCAGGATCTGATTTCTTTCCGCAGGGCCTGTAAGACAGAGTTGTTCCACCTAGCCTTTGGCTTGGAATCAACTTGATCCCCTTTCCCTCTTTTCTCCCTTTCCCTCTTTCCTCTTTCCTTTCTCTTTCTGTGATGGAACTCCTATTTGGGGACTTCCCTGGCTTTTTTCTGGCCCATGTAGGACCAGGCTGGATAGTTAGCCTTGGTGAAGACTTGACGTTTTCATCCCCAAAAAAGTTTTTGATTTGAGTTTCTACTGAAATGAGGCTGCATTTTAAGGTTGTATTTTAATCTTGTTTTTTAAGTTGTATTTTAATCAATTGTTTTTACACCGGGTGTTAGCCGCCCTGAGCCCGGTCTTGGCTGGGGAGGGTGCGGTATAAATAAATTGTTTTTTTATATTATTATTATTATTATTATTATTATTATTATTATTATTATATCTCCTTCTCTTGAAAGGTGTTGTTAAATCTCCTCCTAGGGCAAAGATGATATTGATACAAAGGTAAAAGGTAAAGGGACCCCTGACCATTAGGTGGAGTCATGACCGACTCTGGGGTTGCGGCGCTCATCTCGCTTTATTGGCCAACGGAGCCGGCGTTCAGCTTCCGGGTCATGTGGCCAGCATGACTAAGCCGCTTCTGGAGAACCAGAGCTGCGCACGGAAACGCCGTTTACCTTCCCGCCGGAGCAGTACCTATTTATCTATTTGCACTTTGACATGCTTTTGAACTGCTAGGTTGGCAGGAGCAGGGACCGAGCAACGGGAGCTCACCCCGTCGCAGGGATTCGAACCGCCAACCTTCTGATTAGCAAGTCCTAGGGTCTGTGGTTTAAGCCACAGCGCCACCCGCGTCCCCTATTGATACAAAGCTGGCGAAAAATTGGTTTTCTCTGATGAGGTGCTCTTGCCTGAGACCCAATGACTTGGTGGTGAAATACTTGGGACTGTGCTACTCCTAAAACGAAGGAAGCTCAACAAAGGCTGGTTGGAACAAAATGGCATTGGCAAGGGCATCAGGGAAGGGGCAAGGTGGACCTGCTTAGGCAGGGAGCACCACACAGCCTTGGCACGAATGCCAAGGCAGTCATCTCTCATGTCCCACCCTTCAGATGCTGGAGTACAAACTCCTTAGCAGATCTTCTTGCACAAACAGGGCTTCCTTTTTGGTGGGATTCTCTTGCCACCTTCTTGTTGTGATGGCATTCCGTTTGCTACGATTCCCACCGCTCCCTCGAGCTCCCGTCCTCCTTGCCCCGACATGGCAGGCAGGCATCCTTCCTAATCTTCCAGGAGCCCTTTCGCCCGGCGGGGACCGTCAGGCGCATGATAGACTCGAATCGCCCAGGCGGCGCCATCCATCAACCGCTCTCGGGACAGCTGTCAGCAAGGCTAATCAGCAGGAAGGAGATGCTCCACTCCTGACATCCCTGCTGGCTCCAGAGGCTTCTGGGATAGCCAGTTTGCTCGCCGGGTCTTGAGGAAACAAAGACGACTGCTGACAGGGAGGAACATCTGACAGGGAGCCACGTCGGATGTGGCGCAGCTCCGGGGCATGAAGATACCAGTGCCTGCCTCCCCGTGTCCTTTCCAGTCGGCTTTCCTCAGCTTCTTCCCTTTCTGTTATTAAAGGAGACAGCAGAGCGGAATCACATGCACCCTAACCTGTACTCATTTGTTTAGTAACTGCATTTATTGCCTACTTTTTCCTCCAAACAGCTCAAACTGGCCTGAACATGGTTCTCCTGCTTATTTAATCCCCACAACACCAACCCTGTGAGGTAGGTCTGGCTGTGTTGTAAACAAAAATTTCCCTTTTCCCTTATGGGGTATCCAAGAGCCCATATAGAGTCCTTACATAGGTTCCCTATTGGTAGGAGGGAATAACAGAGGCCAACCAGAGAATATTGAGAAGCAAAGCAGCTAGTAAGCTTGATCTTTATTGATCTGTTGCAACAGGGTGCTCCCCTCACCCGCAGGAGAGAGGAGGGACCCAGAAAAATGGCACGCAAGGCCTTATAAAGACTTTTGAAATTGCCACCCTGTAGATCAAGACCACCCCCAGAAACATCATACATACATCACAGAAGGGTGTAACCTAAGACCACCCCTCAGATACATCACACCTACATCACAGGAAAGGCGGTCTAAAACAGAAATTTGAATATTGTTTTTCTCCTGTTGTTGTTTATCTCCTGTCTGGCAGGTTACTTGATTGGATTGCCTGGGGAGCCTGGCCAGTCTTTTGTAGTGATAAATACTTAGTTCCTGGGCCAGGTCACAGGCTCACACCCTATTCATATCTTAAAGGTGCCCTTAAGACAGGATTTGAGAGGAAAGAGAATGGGGAGGTTTCCCACTTTGACCTTGCAGAGAAAACATTGGCTCAGTTTAGGAATCAAAATGGTTCCAGGTCGGTCTTCCTGTGCTGATCTATGTACGTGCTTGGTTGGTACGCTTATGAACATTACCATATATCTAAGACCTCAAAATTCCTATCACAGCTGCGAGAAGACTGTGACTGGGCCAAAGTCACCCAGTGAGCTTCAAGGCTGGGGGCGGGATTTAAAACCTGGTCGCCCAGGTCCAACACTCCAACCACTATGCCGCACTGTCTCCCACTACACTGCCATGGCAGGCCAAATGTATACCACGTGACCAGAAGCATCTCTCTTTTTTCTTGTATCCAAAAATGCAAGAAGGGCTTTTACACTTGCCAGAAGCTCAGCTCTGCCTTCGCTGGTCTTGGAAGGATCCTTTGAAAAAGTCCCATATGACCAGAGAATTTGCGCCTGTCCACTGGGGGCTTTAGGAAGCCCTGAACACATATTTTTTTAGATGTCCTTTTTACGACGTAGAGAAACCATTGACCCCCTGCTGGGGAGGCTTACTGACCTCCCGGTAAAGCAAAAATTCGATCTTCTCCTGTTAGGCAAAGAGGACCCGGATTGTCGCCAGATTCTGCGCATACATCTGTAGGCGCAAGACCACCCCCCGTTTCAATCTAGTTTGTTAAGAAAATTCCCAAACCCGGACCCATGGGCAACTTTGGGTCACTTCTCTAAGGTAGTCTATTTTAAAGTTTTATGAGTTTATATGCCTATCACACTTTTAAATTTAAAATCTATTGTTGTATATTGTTTTAAATGTTTGTTTTGCTACTGGGATTGTAGTTCCACCTTTGTTTTTCAAGCTGGTCTCTGACCGTAATAAATTTCATGTTTATGTACCACTTGTGACAAAATTGTTATTTTTTTCTGTTTCGTAAAACTTATTCACTGCTTGGCTGCAATTTTTTTAAAAAAACCCCCCAAAAGGTTTGCAGAGGGAATAAGGAAATAAAAAGACTGAAAATGGTAGGATTTGAGTAATGCTTGCGATGTTCAGAAAACTATGGAAAAATGGATTATTTTTCTATAAAAATTAGAGAAAATAAGGGAAGCAGTTGGGAAAAAAGACTGATAATGGTAACCTTGGAAGGGCGGAGGGAAATCAGTGAATTCAGGGAATCCTAAATGATGATGTGGATGTAAAACTTAATAAAATATATTTAAAAGGAAAAAAAGAGAAAATGGTATTTAACTATTTGAAACGTTAAGAAAAACTAAAACCAGTGATAAACAGATCAAAGCACATGCCAATATTTTACATATCCAGGTTGGCTTGTAAAAACAAAAAAGTTTTAAGCTGATCAACCCCCTTGGAAGGTGGTGGGTTCTGTTTCGTTGGAAGGTGTTGGACGGCCATTTGTCAGGCGATTTTGCCACCTTCCCCAGACTTAGCCTGACGTTCCACCAAGCGGCGATTAAGAATTAACCTCCTGAACAATCCTAGCATTGATGGAAGCGGGATGTGTCTCCTCCTCATACAGCTTAACGGGACATTATCTTCTTCTGCCTGAAGAATTAGTGAAGGTACATCTCTACGTCAACTGAGCTTAGGCCACCAACTCCTGAAGGATAATGGAACTATCTGAACAGTTTCCAAGAGCCACAGGTCAGTGGGAGGACATCAGTTTCACATGCAGGAGGCCCCGGATTCGAATCCCACCATCTTGAGGACTTTTCATGAAACCTTGGAGACACACTGCCAATCCTGAGCTGGGTGGACCAGCGGTCTAACTCAGTGTAAACCCTGTGGACTGGAATCTTGCTTGATCTTTGGGGGAAGAGTCCTAGTGTCAGGTGCTGTTGCTGTTGCTCGAGAGTAACCAGGCAGGACTCCGACCTGTCTTTTACAGGCTTTATTTTGGTGCGAACTATTTACAGTGAGGGACGCGGGTGGCGCTGTGGGTTAAACCACAGAGCCTAGGGCTTGCCGATCAGAAGGTCGGTGGTTCGAATCCCCGCAATGGGGTGAGCTCCCGTTGCTCAGTCCCTGCTCCTGCCAACCTAGCAGTTCGAATGCACATCAAAGTGCAAGTAGATAAATAGGTACCACTCTGGTGGGAAGGTAAACGGCATTTCCATGCGCTGCTCTGGTCCACCAGAAGCGGCTTAGTCATGCTGGCCACATGACCCGGAAGCTGTACGCCGGCTCCCTCGGCCAGTAAAGCGAGATGAGCGCCGCAACCCCAGAGTCGGCCGCAACTGGACCTAATGGTCAGGGGTCCCTTTACCTTTTATTTACAGTGAAGAGCATCGTTAGTTCATGTCTGGCTCAATCGCTAGCAGAATCCGGGAGTGGTCTGTTTTTGTACCTCCCCCAACATAAAAGTTTCGTCACCCCCAGCCTTTCCCGCCTTTCCCTGTGCCTCAAACTATTGCGCATGATGGACGATGGCAGGGACATGCTTCCCTCCTCTCTGGCTTGCTCAGGCGCGGTGTTAAGGCTCTTACTAGCATCCTCTGGTCCTTGCACCTCTTCTCCACTGGAGGTGGGGCTTTCCTCCTCGCCGGAAGAGGAATTGCTTCGCAAGATTTTCGGAGGTTCCCTGTAATACAACTGCCCCTCTGTCTCTCGCCTCTGAGCCGATGGCAGTTCCCTGACACCTAGCTAGATAGAGCAACAGCCTGACGTAGGCTGAAGGCATCTGGGATGGGGAATGAAGAGCACAACACAGAAGTGAGTCCAGTTGGAAAACTTCTCGTTGGCACAAAGGTGGCACGGCTTTGCTCGGTCTGACTTCTTGACCGTTGTTGACAAGCGAGATGCCACCATCGTCTGCATTGCAATGACCAAGAGGCTTTTCCGTTTCACGTCCTGTGTCGGGAGCCTGTTCCACACCTGGTGGCTGCAATTGCTTTGCTTGGCCTACATATCTCTTTCGTGTCTGATTTATTAGAGAGGTTGTGCCAGTTGCCAACGCTCCGGAACCGAAACACCCATCAAAGGTTTAAGAGCCTAAACGGGTGTTAATTAGCTCAGCGGGGAAGCCGTAGTTTCAAATGAGGTTTATCTCCGAAACTACTATTAAGTTTGACAATGCAAAGCGATAAATTCTGGGGCTTTAATTCGAGCGTTGCCTAGTCAGACAGATTAGGGGTCTTATCCTGCGGCTTATGTGTAAATAACCGTCAACTTCAGGCGCTGATTTGATGGGATAAAAGACTCTAATTGGGGCAGAGATGGGTAGGCTAGATGGTCTTTTAGTCTCCTGAAACTATATCATTCTCTGCAGCTTGAGTGGTGGGATAGAGACAGTAATTGATTTGGGCCCAGTGCGGATAGCTGCTGCTAATGTATGTGTTTATCTTTATCATTTTACATTGCAATGTGGTCCGTCCCAAAACACATTGTGTTTTGGGGCAACCCCAAGATTCCTTGGATATTTAGCAGAGATTCCTGACAAATATTAATAGCAAGTGTCAAGCTTCCTTGTGAACGCCAGGACACCTGCTAAGAGCAGCAACCTGGACTTGGGATCTGACCTGTGTGAGGAAGGACTTGAAGGTCCATTGAGACCAGAGGTAGAGGGGTTGGAAATCAACCAGCGATAAAACTCCGAGCTCCCAATGGCTTGGGAGTCCATGAACCAGGGACCCCAGACTTGGGACTCCAGAGTCTGTATGCACTGAGGAACTGAACAGATCCACACCAGGAACCTGCACCCCTGTTAACTCAGCCAAAGAGCCTGGAGGGGATTCTGCAGGGATGAGGAGGACTGGAAGCAAAGAGGTCTACTCTTTTAAGGCCACAGAAGGGGCAGAGGCTAGGAGGGGTGATCTGGATCTTGGAGCATAAAGAGCTTCAGGCCTCGCCTGCACTTCCATTTGCTCCACGGCTTCCGCCCTGAGAAAACCAGCGGTTTAGCGCTGAATCAGAGCAAATGGCAACTGGGTTTTCCACAGACTGCAGTTTGTTCTGGGATTTTTAAGCAGAAGTGGCGGGGGAGGGGGAAAGGCATCACCCCTGAGATCCCTGCCCAGAAAGCGGAAGTGTGGACGAGCTCTTAGTTCAGTCCTAGGGACGCTGGTGGCGCTGTGGTCTAAACCACTGAGCCTTGGGTTTGCCAATCAGAAGGTTGGCAGTTCGAATCCCCGTGACGGGGTGAGCTCCCGTTGCTCGGTCCCTGCTCCTGCCAACCTAGCAGTTCAAAAGCACGCCAAAGAGCAAGTAGATAAATAGGTACTGCTCCGGCGGGAAGGTAAACGGCATTTCTGTGCGCTGCTCCGGTTCACCAGAAGCGGCTTAGTCCTGCTGAATCGTTCGCAACTGGACTTAACTGTCAGGGGTCCTTTACCTTTAGGTATAGTTGGCAGTGAGAGATTTTACTTTCTTGGGCTCCATGATCATTACAGATGGTGACAGCAGTCACGAAATTAAAAGACGCCTGCTTCTTGGGAGAAAAGCGATGACAAACCTAGACAGCATCTTAAAAAGCAGAGACATCACCTTGCCAACAAAGGTCCGTATAGTTAAAGCTATGGTTTTCCCAGTAGTGATGTATGAAAGTGAGAGCTGGACCATAAAGAAGGCTGATCGCCGAAGAATTGATGCTTTTGAATTATGGTGCTGGAGGGGACACTTGAGAGTCCCATGGACTGCAAGAAGATCAAACCTATCCATTCTGAAGGAAATCAGCCCTGAGTGCTCACTGGAAGGACAGATCCTGAAGCTGAGGCTCCAGTACTTTGGCCACGTCATGAGAAGAGAAGACTCCCTGGAAAAAACCCTGATGTTGGGAAAGATTGAGGGCACAAGGAGAAGGGGACGATAGAGGACGAGACGGTGGGACAGTGTTCTCAAAGCTACCAGCATGAGTTTGTGGGAGGCAGTGGAAGACAGGAGTGCCTGGCATGCTCTGGTCCAGGGGGTCACGAAGAGTAGGACACGACTAAATAACAAATAGTTGGACAACGCTGGAACTGTCCTTGGTGCTGCAGCCACTGGGCTGCCTTGCTGGCTGCTCACTCAGAGCTGTCCATGGTCCTGCCTTGCCGCCTTGCTCTGTCAGCTTCCAGGCAAGGCCTGAACAGAATGAAGTGGCATGGTCCACCATTCCTTGCAATATGTAGCCACAAGGCTGTGTTGGAAAGTGTATGTCCCCATTGCA